GGGCTGCAGCCGGGGCGCCGGCGAGTTGTCTGCGCTCTGGGCGCCGCCGGGGTCAGGCTTCCTGTCGTGGGTTGGCGAGGCTGTGGGGAGAGAAAAAGAGAAACCGTGCGGGAGGGGAGGCCGTGGGGGAGGAGAGGCCGGAAGGCGAGGCCGTCTGAGCAGGAGAAGCTGTGGGAGAAGGGAGGCCGAGAGGGGTGGGCCCGAGAAGGAGAGGCGCCTTGAGGAAACCGTCGAGGGAGGAAGAGACGGAGGAAGGCCCGGGAGAAAGAAGGAACGGGCTCCGAGAGAGGCTGGGAGGGGAGGAGATGGGGCCAGGGGAGACTTAGCGAGCACCTGCCGGTGGGGAACCTGGGAGGTGAGGAGACCTGGCCGCCTAGGAAGAAGGTGGGCGTGTTGCCCGCTAAGAATGGGGCCAACCAAGAAAATTGTCCTCTATGAGGAATCAGAGGCCTTGATGGGAACAATTCATTTTGTTAAGGAACCTTTTTAAATCTATAGATTTTTAAATTACCACAGCTTAGTTTTTTCCTAGAGCTAAATCTTTCTGGCAACAAACCTGTATTGCCTTTTCTTTAACGTACGTGTGTGTGTGTGTGCGCGTGTGTGTGTATCCACCTTTTTGCTATTTACATTTCGTTGAGAAAGTACCAAGAACAAACCTCAGGGAAAGGGCTCATATTACAGGTTCTCCTAATTGTTTAAGGCGCCCCTGACAACAGAACTATTTGGTTTTCCCATCGGTGTTTACATTGTCATCTTGGTTTCTGCAGAATAGAGTATTTGTGAATGAATTTTTATCTGGCTTCTTGGACACAGCTTACTGGTAAACTGCAGCTAAAATGGGTTTTTAAAGCGTGGCTGGGAGGCAGAGGCCCCTGGTTAAATATAAAAACATACATCTCTTAGATTTTTGTTCCTTTTGATGGTAGAGAAAAAGTTCCTATGTGATAAGATATATACAAACCAAAAAATCAAACTCAACTGCCATGCAGCGGATTCTGACTCATAGTGACCGCACTGGGTTTTCCAGGAGGTAAATCTTTACAGAAGTAGAATCCCATCTTCCTTTTAGGGAGTGGCTGGTGGGTTTGCACTGCCAACCTTCTATTTAGCAGTCATTTGCCTTAGGTACCTTATAACATTTTATACACAGACACACACACACATAAAATTTTCTCCAACTCACAGGTTGGTGACTAAACTTCAGCCAGCTCAGAAGCTGGACAGTTTTCCCCGTCCAGTTATGCAGTGTCTCCTCCCCAGTTGCCTTTGTCCTAGTACCCTGCTAACAGGCGCAATGACTCATCTTTGTTTTTCTCTTTCTCTCCTTTAAATCGCTGTTTTCTGACATCTCTTGCCCCTCGCATTGAAGTGCTTGGTCCACCCATTGCAACTTTTGCAACACTTTATTTGCATACTTGCTTTTCCCAAGTTGACAATTACAATCAGTTTTTCTGCAGCAGTAATAATAGCTGGTATAGTAAATTTCTGTTTCGCAGAGAGGCTGATTGTGACTCACTATGTTAAACATTGTACACACACAGCTGAATAAAGTTCTGGTGCATAGCCAGTTCCTGACTGTGGGCTATTGACCTCACTACTGCTTCCTATTGATATCACCATCTGTTGTGATGGGAAAGATTGTCTGATATTTGGGTTAAATGCCGCTGAAGTCACTCCATGTCCATGTGGAAAGATAACCCAAAGTAAATTGCCCTGTGAGGTATGGAAGCTATTTTTCCTAGTGATAGAGAATTAAACAGAACATCCCAAGAAAAGCAAAACAAAAACACCTCCCTTCAGGGAATCCCTTATTTCTGTATTCCCTCAGTAACTTATTTTTATTTCATGCATGAAATTTCATGTGTGTGTGTGTGTGTGTATTTTAAAGATGACCCTTGGCTCAGGTGTCCCGAGGCTATGCTTTGGGGTTGCGGGGAGGGAAAAGAAATGTCCGCGGATGTCTGATTTCCCTCTCCTTGAACCCTCAGCCATCGTCCTCGGCGCACCCAGCACCTCCGATCACCGAGGGATCCGCACCCTTCTGGGCGCCCGGGTGCCTGCCACCTAAGTCCTGCAAGCTTGCCCTGGGCCCGGCTCCCGAGAGGCGTGCACGACCCCTTTTGACACTTTCCCTCCTCTGGGATGGAGCAACTACTTAACATGCAAAGTTTTCTCCAGCCTGCCCCGCTCGCTCCAGATCACTGTAGTAGCTGAACTGGCTTCTCTCCGTAAAGACTGCCAAGAGACACAAAATCACGGGGGCACATTTTGCTCCTTCCCCACACGAACACAGACAGACCTGGAGCCTCCTGTCTTGCAAGCTCTGACCCTTTCCCGTCACACCCTTCATCTCCCCCCTCTCTCCAGTCTCCCCAAATCCCAGCTCCTCTCCCGGGGCACTGCCTTGGGCGATCTTACCTTTTCTCTCTGCCACTGTGGCTTCGGGGGCGGACCCAATGATCAAACAGAGAAGCCAGAAAGCCCTAGCTGTCATTTTTGTAGACACGGTTCCCAGGCTCTAAAACGGAGCCTGGGCTTTTGCTTTCTTTCTCTCCCCCCACCTTCTCCACACCCCCACCCGCGTTCATGCTAATGAGGGGCAGCCTTTGGGGAAACGGGAATCACTCACTGAGCAGACCATTGGAACAAAACCGAGCTGCAGGGATTTCTCGCACTTCCTAAGGGGGTCGAGCACATGGTCTCTCAAAGTTGTCGCTGGGAACGTCTGTCCTGTGATCTGTGTTCAATGGGAACATTAAACCTTACTCTTTAAACCCGTGTGTGTGTGCTGCGCTAGGGGGTTGGGGAGGACAGGGTGGGGTGACAAGTGGAGGGAATGAGGGTGTTGAGGGGCTGAGGGACAGGGCGGGGAGGATGAGCAGGGGCAAGATTGTTCTGGATTAAGTGAACAACAGATAGGAAAATGAGTGTATAGGACAACTTGGGTTTGTGGAAGGGAAAGGATTCGAGCGGACAGAAAATTCACCCCAGAGTGTGCCAGGCAACTCAAGTTACTTCATCTTAACCTTGGCTTGGTTAGAGGGGTCACTAGGAATAGGAACCGACTCCACGGCAATGAGTTTGGTCTTTGGTTTTAGGATTGGTAAAATAGTATTTCACTATATATGCAGTATTAATACTGTAGACTTAGGAGGAGAAAAAGCCCTCGGCAAAATACTTTTTCTTCCCCATTCTTTTCTATCTCAATAAAAGTTGGTTTTCAGTTGGCCAGATTAATCAAGTCCATATTAAGGACCTTTACCTGCCGGGTTCTAGGTGCTGGGGAAAAAAGATAAATACAACACCTTCCCAGCTCTCTGGCTATGGCTCCTCTGCTAGAGAAAGGTGGATGTTTTTCCTTTCTAAGAAAAATAAACTCATTCTATGCTTAGGTCTGAATTCTTGAGAAGATTCTGCATGTTTGTCCTGAGCTAACGGCCCTCCCCCACCCAATCCAACAGAAACCGCATTCACTAAAGGGCAGATGATGCTCACCATAGAAAACCCACAGCCTGACAGGTCGGAATCTCATTTCAGCAGCTTCAAATCCACAAAAATCCCCAAGCTCACTGCTGTCGAGTTGATTCTGACCCATAGTGACCCTCTAGCACAGAGTAGAACTGCCCCAATAGGGTTTCCAAGGCTGTAATCTTGACAGAAGCAGACTGCCACATCTTTTTCACACAGAGTGACTGGTGGGTTTGAACTGCCAACCTTTCAGTTAGCAGCCGAGAGCTTAACCACTGCACCACCAGGGCTCTTTTTAAATCTAAAAGGAAGGGGAAATGCATTGAGTTGAGGAGTTTTATCTGGAGCATATGAGTCAACAGTGAGATGCAGCTGCTAAAAGAAGTAACAAACTTGCTGCACAAATATCTGATGTCTCAAAAATACTAGTTCAACCTATGGGCTCAGAACCATAGATGAGGAGGACATCAAGCTCAATTTGCATAACATACTACTCGAAAACATTGTTCTGCATCCTACATGGGCGAGTAGAGACTGGGATCTTAAAAGCTTGCGAGTGGCCATCTAGATGCAACAATTGGTCTCTCCCCGTCTGGACCAAAGAAGAATGAAGAAAACGAAAGACACAAGGCAACAAGTAGTCCAAGGGACCAGTCAACCACAAGAACCTCAGCCTATATGATCAGAAGAACTAGATGGTGCCCAGCTACCACTGCTAACCACGTGGAAATGGATCAGTG